GGCTGTGGGTTGTTCAGCTGCTCACCTCGTTACCGCTGACGTACACACCGACGTTACAAGCAACGCGCTTGTACAGGCGGTACTTCTGACCACGTAACCTCTGCTTGATGGTGTCCTCGGCGAGCTTGAGCTGTTGGGCGCTAATTCTGCGGTGGTGATCGCGCATGCGCAGGCCGTAATCTCCCCAAACCACTGTTGTTCCTTTGGTCGAACCACCCGTCGGCACTCTGGGCCTTCCCTTCATCATCTTCTTCTTTCTGTTGAGGTTGGGCTCGAGCCACGAACCAGCCTGGATGGCGGTCGCAGAGAATAGGCGGACATGGGAGGCGACAGAGACGGGGGTCGGCGCAATGGGGCGGCGGACGGCAGAGGTTGCGAGCGACACGGCGCGGAAGGGAGTCGCCGACGAGGTTATCCTGAGGCCCTGGAAGGCGCTGAGGAGCGCCGAGGAAGCGTTGTGCTTCATTGTGTTGAAGGTTTGGGTGTGGACCGGACCGGGGAGGGGACGAGTGGTGGACGGAGAACGGAGGGAGGGTCCAATTGGATGCCGGTCGCCGACGACGATTGATACGGAATCCCCGAAGCAGCGCGCGCACAGAGACGGGGACCGGGCAGAGCGACCAACTGCAATGGAAGGCGCTGCGGGCGCGGACGGGGCACGGACGGCACTTCCAAAAATTGTGACCCACCAAAAAGTGTCGGGTGCCGGCCGCGACAATCTGCCGGACGGCACAGCAGACAAACGGGACTCAATTCATTAACTTCCCACAAGAAATACAGCTGCGTAGGCGTGCCTTATGGCGACAGGTAGGCGAATTCTTGTAGGACAAAGCCCCACCAGTCGCGACAGGGGAGCAGAGCCCGGACACAGACTCGCGTCATCCACTTCACCTTCGCGTCTCACTCATCATTCGGGCAATTGTTGCTTCTTTACAAGGGACAAGAGTCGACCCGTTAGCTCTTTACCCTTCTAGGCCTTTTGTTCAACAACACTTGTTAGGCAGAAGGACAGCTGCCTGGACAACTCAGACACCAAGAAAAAAGTCCCAACTTCCCAACTCCGCCACTATAAGAAGATGCTGGCTGGTGTCATCTGATTGTTACATCTTCCCAACCTTTTGACACATTCAACTTATCATTTTGTATCCTGTGATTTCTTTTCACATACTCCATCATGCCTGCCGACATTCGCTCGTTTTTTGGTCCAAAAGGTGGCGCGCCGCCTGCTAAGCCTGCAACACCAGCACCCAAGAAGGAAGAGGAGAAGAAGGCCCGGGGCAGTAAGCTCGAACCATGATCTCCATTACAAGCTTATCACACTATATTGACAATCTTGTCGCAGGACCAAGAAAGGTAGTTGAGGACAGCGAAGATGACGAGGTTGTTGAGTAAGCTTAGTGAAAAGCATCTCTTCTCAGAACTAGCATCTAACCAGCATGTATAGAGTCAAAAAGCCAACCAAGGCTGCGCCAAAGAAGAAAGTAGCGTAAGTGTTTATGAAACACCTCTCAGTTCCATGTCATCCTATTCCTGCTGACAGACTATCTAGGGAACCCGTAAAAGGAGTTGAAACCGATGCTGCCAAGTACTTTGCAACCTCGAAAACAAAAACAGCTGCTGCGTCCCAGTCAACACCGAAAAAGACACCCGCAAAACCCGAGCCAGAAGAACCAAAAGTGGCGCTTCGAACAAGCCCGCGGAAGAAAGCCACCCCCGCTGCCAAAGCACCAGAGCCTCCCAAGACTACTACAAAGAAGACCTCGATTACGAAGAAACCCACGACGGCCTACAAGAGTTACGACAAGGATGACGATGGCGATGCCTACATGGATGATGAGCACGATGCTGGAGATGACATATTTGCGGCGGAATTCAAGGGTGGCAGCAAGAGGAAAAAGGACGATGACTATGCCGAGGAGGACAGTGATGAGGAGCTCCTCCCCAAGCCCAAGCGAATTGCATCTCGCGCCAAAACAGCAGCCGTAGCCGAGTCTGACGACGAAGACGTCAAGCCTGGACCCAGCAAGTCGAACAAGAAATCTACAACTACTACGGCAGGGAAGCGGAAATCCCCGGTTGTTATAAGTGACGAGGAAGACGAAGAGGAAGAAGAAGTCAAGCCAGCGAAGAAGAAGGGAGCCCCCGCTAAGCCCCGTGCGCCAAGGGCAAAGAAGGATGCGGCGGTTGAAGAACCTGAGGACGTCAAGAAGATCCTCGACAATATCCCAACTATCGAAGCACCAGATGCTCCTCCCAAAGACCCCAACTTCAAGTTTGACTGGAAGACCAAGGCCGCCGGAGCTGGCAATGCGGGCCCACCCCCCATGGCGGGCAGTGCTGAGATTCCTGAAGGTGAAATCGATTGTCTGGCGGGCAAGACATTTGTGTTCACCGGTCTGCTCAAGACGATCGCGCGTGAGGAAGCCCAAGCACTCGTCAAGCGCTATGGTGGCAAGGTCACAGGAGCGCCATCCAGCAAAACCGATTTCGTCGTCCTCGGCGACGATGCAGGACCCAGCAAGCTGAGGAAGATCAAAGAGCATGGGATCAAGACCATTGATGAGGAGGGCTTGTTTTACCTCATCAGGACTATGCCCGCCGGTGGTGGCACCGGAAAGGGGGCGGAGAAGGCCAAGCAGAAGCGGGAGGAGGAAGAGAAGAAGGTGCGTGAAGAGGCCGAGAGGCTAGATCGCGAAGAGAAGGCTCTGCGACTGGCGGCTGAGAAAGAGGCCAAGAAGGCCGCTGCTGCTCGCGGTGTTTCTGGTCCCGTCCCTGCTGCTCTGCCCATACCGTCGTCACAGCTCTGGACAACAAAGTATGCCCCCACGGCGATGAACCAGATCTGCGGCAACAAAGCCAACGTGGAGAAGATACAGAACTGGCTTAAAAACTGGCCCAAGTCTAGAAAGTACAACTTCCAAAAGAGAGGCGCCGATGGTTCAGGTGGATACCGTGCTATTATCATCTCCGGTCCTCCTGGTATCGGCAAGACAACTGCGGCGCATCTTGCTGCCAAGATGGAAGGCTACGACGTGATCGAGAGCAACGCCAGTGACACTCGCAGCAAGAAGCTCATCGAGAACGGTGTTAGTGAGGTCATGACCAACACATCTCTTCTAGGTTTCTTTGGTGGAGATGGTAAGCATGCTGATGCCCGCAAGAAGAAGATTGTTCTCGTCATGGACGAGGTCGACGGTATGTCCGCTGGTGATCGCGGAGGTGTCGGTACTATGGCCAAATTCTGCAAGAAGACCGAGGTGCCGCTCATCTTGATTTGCAACGAGCGCAGATTGCCAAAGATGAAGCCTTTCGATCATGTCGCCTTTGACATCAAGTTTCAGCGCCCCACGGTCGACCAGATCCGCTCGCGTATCATGACCATCTGCCACAGAGAAGGTCTCAAGATCCCGCCACCTGTCGTCAATGCTCTTATCGAAGGTAGCGGTAGGGACATTCGGCAGATCATCAACATGATCTCTACAGCGAAGCTGGATCAGACCACCATGGATTTTGATCAAAGCAAGCAAATGAGCAAGGCATGGGAAAAGCACGTCATCCTCAAGCCTTGGGATATTTGCCAGAAGCTGATCGGCGGTGGCATGTTCGCCCCTTCCAGCACGGCGACTCTGAATGACAAGATCGACCTCTACTTCAATGATCACGAATTCTCCTATCTCATGATCCAGGAGAACTACCTCCGTTCCAGGCCCATGGTCCTGAACCAAAAGGGCTACACTCCAAGGGAACAAAACCTTAAGTACCTCGAACTCGTCGACGAAGCAGCTGAAAGCATCAGCGATGGTGATCTAGTAGACCGCATGATCCACGGCCCCCAGCAACAATGGAGTTTGATGCCCACACACGCCGTCTTCAGTACTGTCCGTCCCTCAAGTCTTATCGCCGGCCAATTCGGCGGACAGGCCCAGTTCACTTCCTGGCTCGGCAACAACAGCAAGTACGGCAAGCTCAACCGCTTCAACCGCGAGATCCACGCCCACATGCGCCTCAAGTCCTCGGGTGACGCCCAAGAAATTCGCCAGCAGTACATGCCTGTGCTGTGGGACAAGCTCGTCAAGCGCCTCGAGGTGGAGGGCAAGGATTGCGTGCCCGAAGTCATCGATCTGATGGATAGCTACTACCTGACGAGAGAAGACTTTGACTCGATCAAGGAGTTGGGATTGGGTCATATGGCGGAGGAGACGGTCAATATTGAGTCGCAGACTAAGGCTGCTTTTACGAGGATGTGAGTTTCTTTCCCCGCCCATTTCCCCACACACCTCAATTTACTAACCATCCCTCCCTTCCACAGGTACAACGCAGCCTCCCACCCCGTCCCCTTCATCAAAGCCAGCAGCGTCCTCGCCCCCAAGAAACTCACCAAAGAGGTGCCCGACCTGGAGGAAGCCATCGAGGAAGACTTTGAGGGCGATGACGCCGGCCTTGGTGATGATGCCGCGGAAGTTGATGAAGATGATGATGTGGATATCACCAAGGATAAGTATATTAAACAGCCCAAGGCGAAGAAGGCTGCCGCTAAGAAAAGTACCGCTGCCGCTAGCAAGAAGAAGGCGGCGGCGAAGACCAAGGATGAGGATATTGTAGATGATGACGAGGATGATGAGGATGTTGGAGCGAAAAAGCCGGCTGCAAGGGGAAGGGGAAGGCCTGCTAAGAAGAAGTGAGTAGAGTCCTTGTAGAGATGTGTGGAATGGGGGATGTATGTGACTTGATAATGGTATAAGGTAGTTAAGGGAGCGTGGTGTGTCTATTTCAAATTTGTCCATGGTTAGGTTGTCAGGTAGTCATGTCATGGTAGGAAAAGGACTGGAGGCATTTGCTATCGGGAATTAATGGAAAGTTGGTAACATGTCGGTATCCTTGTAATCGTCGAGCTATAACGAAAATGGAGTTACATGTCTGACCCGACTCTTGCTCTCATACTTCAAGCGACGTGTCTTATTCGCCAAACGCTACACAGACTGAGAGAAACTCTTCCTTACATTTCAAAAACCAAGCCACTTTCTATACCTGAGGTATCCGCTATCCAAAGACTTTGAAAGTCAGGGTAGGCCAAACTGCTACAAAAGTATCCAGAACGCAGATAAATCCAGGGAAACCTACCTCAACGAAAGACTTGCGAAGATACACTGAGTCGTCACCATCTCTTCATCCGTCTTCCTGTCCGTGACTGGAGTAGAGACTGTCCCTTGACTCTTCTAGTTCATGACTGTATCCCCATCCGCATCACGGCGATCAGAGACCTCTTCCATTTCCCCGCTCTGCCCATCATCCGCGTTGGCGTCTCCGTTCTCCGTGTTATGCCCCTTATCCTCTTTAGCAGCAGCTTTCGCTGCGTTCCATGCCTTCCTTTCCGCCTTAATCACCAAACACCCCTTCTCCGCCGCCCTTACCCTGGCCTCCTCCTTCGTCGCCGCTCCCGTCACGTCAGCCACCTGCTTCCCTCCAACAAAGAGCTTGCACGAAAACACCTCGTCATGTTCCGGAGTATCTTCATATGGCTCCACCGACACCAGCCCATCGTCAACGGCACTCGGCTCATCCTGAAACTCCGTCCCGCTACTGATGATACCCCTCTTGCTAGAGATGATCACAAACTCGGTGCGCGTCGCCCGCTTGTTTGGGGGCGCCAGGATCTGCAGTTCGACATTGGGATGCATCACATGCGCCTTTGTTTTAAGTAAGTGATCCAGCAGAGGCAAGAGGCCCATTTGGGTCAGCACGTGCTCGCATGCTTCCCACGAGCCGGAGTCGACCCACACGGCTCCAATGAGCGATTCGACAATGTCCGAGTAGAACTTCTGGGGGCCCATGCGCGCCAGCAGGGCCCACGGCAGCGTGTTCTGCTTCCAAATCGCATCGCGAATGTCGTCTCTGAGGGCGAGGTAGCGTTCTATGGTGGCGGTCTGGGTGGCTCCGACCTGTGGCGAGTTGTGGCGCATGAACCGCCAGAAGGGCCAATCCTCCTTGTTGGAGACTAGGCTCGCAGGTGTTATCCTGCTTTGGGATGAGGGAAGGAGGCCGAGCGCGTCCAGATTAGTAGGGTCGATCTCGTTGATGTCCGTCTGCATGATGACCCATTCCATGGCCAGGAAAGCCATGATGTCGGCGGTGACGACGGAGGAGAGGTGCTCGTGCATGTCGTTGTGCGCGAGCTCGTTGGGGCCTGTCTCGGCCATGAGACGCTTGACGACGATGACGTCGAGGATGGCGTCGCCGAGGAACTCGAGACGTTCGTAGCAGGATTCGTTGGTACCGAGACCTGCGCAGGACGGGTGCGTCATGGCCTCGATTAGGAGTGACTTTTTGTTAAAAGTGTAGCTCATGGCCTTTTCTAGAGGCTCTAATTGCTTGGAAAGGATGGCATCCTTGGGAGCAAACTCAAAAAGCTGGGCACGACTAAGGCTAATTTCCTGCCACTTGAACTGGCTGGACTTGGGAGTGGGGAGAAGGAGGGCGACGCACTCGAGTGCCTTTGACATGCCCCCGCACATGTATGCGGCGCCGATGAGGGACTCTACAACATCGGCTACCATCTTGGAGCTCATCTGCCGGGTTTCTGCCGATTCCGGGGACTTCATCTCATCCAGATAATCCTCGACAAACTTGGGCCGCCACTTCTTCGAGGCCGCAGAGTTGATGATGTACTCGTCAAGGCCAAAATCGCGAGATGCCCGACAGAGTCGCACGTTGTTCACGAGCTTGTCTTTCCATTGGGAAAGTAACCGTTCATGGTGGTTTGGAACTATGCTATGGTGAGCAGCTGCCGTGAGCGTGAGAGGTCTTGTGAGAAGCACTTACATAATGCCGAAGCAGTGAGGCAGGCGCAGAACTTTAAGATTGTATCGCCGATAAACTCCAATCTTTCGTAGTTGGTCGGGCCTCGAGACCCACTGCTGATGAGTGCGGTCGTAATGAGAGGCAAGTTATCAAGTTGCAGACAACCCAGACGATTGTACATCAGGTCCGCGGCCACTAAACTCATTTCCACTGCCCTTGTGAAAGCTGGGATGACTGCACCCACCTGAGCAAACACGGCCGGGAAGTTATCCATCCGAATCTGTGTGGAGGGAAGGACCTTTCGGTACAGCTTTCCATTCTTCGGAGTCCAACTGTCCTGATCTTGAGCTGCATCAAGTGGAATGAACTGACCCACGGCTTTGCCAATGGGCTTGCAAACCACGTATGGAACGTTCTCTGGAAGGTCTGCATGATCTGTACTTGGCTTGGATATGAGTTCGACCGGTGGCTTGGAGGGCAAGATCTCGGTGACGAAATAGGGCATGTTCCTCCCGTCTACGAGCCTCACAAGAGGAGGCTGAGGGGAGCTTTCATACAGTCGAGGGTCAAACTCAAGAGCTGCAATTCCGTCGACGTCCAGTTTCCTCTGGGTTGATACAAGGCGAATCGGATATTGCCTGCCCTGGATTGGGAATCGATGTGCAAAAGCCATGGCGAGCAAAGCATATGAATGGTCTGGCCCAGCACTGGCTCCTTCTTGTTTGCGGAATTCCTGCATCTCTGGACTGGTGATGAGCGTTAAAGCAGAAGTGGCATTCCACCACAGCTTTAAATGTGCCATGAGAGGAACTGGCACGGGAAGTATAAACTCGAATTCGAGGGGTTTTTCTACACCTGGAACCAGAACTGTCAGGTGACGACTGTATAGGGACGAACTCTCTTGCCAGGCATAAGCTACCTCTGGCCAGGGGTCGAACTGTGTCTTGACCCAAATATGACCCGGATCGTCCCCAAGGTCGGCCAGGAAGTCAGATACCTTTGTAGGCAGCAAATTCTCATTGACTAATCCTGCGTTGTACAGAGCTTTATATGCCTGAAATGAGGCATCCATAATTGCAAGCTTCTCCGACGTCCAAGTCCAAAGACTTTCGTGGCGACGTAAATCAGGGGCAAGAGATGCTGGCAGATGAACAGTTGCCTGGAGCAATGTTCGTCGACCAGGTGATGCTGGGTCCGGACTGACTTGACGAATGACGAAGTACGGTTCCTTCTGAAGATATCGGGATCTTGACGAGACCTTTGCGCAAAAGTGATTGAGATGGGATCTGACATCTCTGATAGTCATGCGAGCGCCAGTACTCTCGACTTCCAGAACCGGATAACTGCCAATTCTCGGATCATCGAGCAACTCGAGTTCTGCGTTTTGACGCATCTCGTCCTCGTACCTCTCTTTCATCAGCCGCTCCAGATTATGCCAGTCCGTTGCGGACTCACCAGAGGCGTTTTGAACCATTAGATAGAGAGTGGAGCTTACCTCTCTTGCCCTTCCGCGACGCTGAATAAAGGATTTGATGTTTGATGGTTCGTCAAAACAAATGACGAGGTTGCAAATGGGAACGTCGATGCCCTCCTCGAGGACACTCGTTGCGACAAGTAGATTGAAGCGGCCTCGGCGAAATCCTTCGAGGGATGTCATGTCCTCCTTTTTGGTCATGTCCATGTGATTCCTCGCCTTTCCTGGCACACTAGCGGTGCCAATCATGGAAGCAGTGCGGTAACGGTCCTTGGTGAGCGGATGGGTGGATATGATATGCGTCACAATGCTGACCATTACCCTCTCCTTGACAAAAACAATACCAACCGGGTCCTGTTGATGGGAAGCAAGGACTTTGAGCAAAGTCTGGACTTTTGGGGAGAGCTGGATGGGCTCTTTTGAAATAGCCGGAATGGGGATAGATCGTAATGCCTCGCCTATGTACCGGTGTTGGGCCGGAGGTTCCCCGCGCTCCAGTTCGGCCAACATATGCGAAACTGTCCTTGTGAGGTAATAGTCCGCCGCCCATGGCCCAATTTCCCGACGCACAAGGAGGGCCCTGTTGTAAACCCCTCTCAATTCTTTCTGGGCGAGCGTGTCCTTCTTGGTAACCATCTGACGAAGCTTCTCCCTAGCCCGTTCAGTGCGTTGTGCTTTGAGCAACAAGACATCTGGGTCCTTGCTTATATCAAGCCTGTGGTATGCTTCTAGGAATCTTGTCATGAGATCGGTTGGTGTTGGCTCGGTACCAGGGCCCTTAGAGTCGCCGTATGAAACAACGAGCATCTCCGGGCGGTTCACGTGTGCAAGAAGCTCTTCTCGATGTATTGTAGGAGTCCTACAGACTGCATCAAGGACTTGTTCAAGCTTCTCAATGTCAGCGAGGTTATTTGACTTCAGCGGGCTTGCCGTAAGACCGAGGATGCTCGGGACTGGTAGACCAGCCTTCTTTGCAGGGAGGTACGCCTCGGTCATCAGTCTGGCAATGGGATGGCTCCCGCTGCAATTGTGTGCTTCATCGATGACAATCAAGCTCAGGGAGTCCAAGCGGACGAAGCTGTGGGCATTTGCATCGAACAAGATCTGGTATGTTGACACCACGATACGAACGTTGAGCAAGACGGCATCCCAGACAGCCTGCTCAGACCAGCTGTCCACCCCATCCTGGCCACAGAGCATTATAGCCTTGACAGAAGGTATTTGTGATTGCAAAACTTGGTGTTGTTGGCGAGCCAGGGCGACCGTTGGCGTCAGGAACCAGATTCGCTAGAAAAAAAAATGTTAGGCATTGGTTCGAAGAGAAAATGCCGGAAGGGTTTGACGAACTTTGTCACTTTGTTCGAGCTCTCTGGCTATGCGAAGTACGGCACTTGAAAAGTATTAGCAAGAATATCCCGTAGTGGATTCTAGACCACTTACACCTGAGTCTTGCCACTGCCAGTGTCCATCTGCAACCATCACTCGGTTAGAGAAGAGCCAAGAAGGGGCAAGGGTATGATGAAAGAGAAGGTATATCATACAGCCACGATGATGTTCTGCTTGAGGCTTGCTTCGAACATTTCTAGTTGATAAGCCCTCGCGGTCAAGGCAGCAGGGGTTGACACTTGATCGGTTAGCTCTTCAGATGGCTCTTTAGATGGCTCCTCAGATGGCTCCTCTAGAGCATTTTGATAGAGTTCCTTCAAGTCAAGGGGCTCGTCAAGAGTACTCTCGAACGACTCCTCCTCGCCGTCTGGGTCCTGGGAACTATCATCGCGATCGACATCCATCTCGACCGGGTTGTCTTTCCTAGGGTCCTGATCCATGGTGGCCGAGGAAACAACAGTAGTAGCTTGCTTGTAGGCGTAAGAGCAGGAGTGGAAGTTTCGCTTAGAGAGTCGGGGTATGCCGAATGAAGGATGATAGATATAGCTAGTCGGTGAATATATATGTGATACGCTGCCTTTCGGGAACACGAAGAATTGTGGGCATGAAGATGCCGAAACCGAAGATATTGTCGCTGGTGGTGGTGGTGGTGGTGGAGGAGGAGGAGGATGAAGAGAAGCTATTGAAGAAAACTCGAAACGGCCCTTACAGGCCAGCAACCTTCAACTAGAGCCGTCTAGGGTAGAAACGAGTCCAGACCGGAGAGGAAGTTGAAGGTTGGGTTGCGCTCGAGATAGTTGGAAGGTGGACATGTTCTTTGCAAAGTTGGGCATCTGGCTTCAAGCTGTGTCACAGTGGGTGCGTGCGTGCCAGCCGCAATCGACTTCGAGCCTGTTTCTCATGCACGAGGCCTACAGTCCGAGAAGATGCTGGAGGTTTTCTTCCAAGGCCGGAGTTGAATCCTTTGAAGTCCTGTCCTCCCACATCGACTAGGAGTAGTGTAGTAAGATGTTTGAAAAGAAGTCAGTTGTAATGTCACACTACAGTTTTGAGTGTAAACGAACGAATGGCAGGAAAGAGAAATGAAAGTAGTGTCCAAAGGCCCTAATTAATTGTTAGTGTAACAGCAGTGTTGGGCGCAGTTATCGTACCACCACCCTTGAAAAGGAAAGAACTGGACGCTGTGGGCAGCTACTTCAACTTCACGGTCCACAACAGAAGAATCCATGGATGGCTTCCATGAGGACGGCAAGAACCCGCCACCTCGACAGGAAGTGGGAAAGGTTGATTTGATATTCTAGGAGTTTAGGTAGGTAGGTAGCCAGAGTAGGCACAAATCTCTCCCATTGCACTCTCCTCCGATATGGACATTACCTAATTGTCTTGAGCTTTCGCTCGAACCCTCGACAAGCACTGCCAATGATGGGAGGGGGTTACATAAACAAACATCGATAGAGATCCATCCCTTTGTGCATTGAATTCGGACCTCGTGCATCACGCAATCCATCTTCGAAATCGGCATCCATTCATCCGCCAACTTCCTTAAACCGGTCTTTGACGTGGACATCACAATATCGATACAATACAGTGTATCTGCGTAGTTTTACTTGGATCGTCTTGGTTTCTTCCAATAATCATGAAGCCACACGGGACAATGGAGTTGTATGCAGCTGGAGCCAACCATTCGTTGCAGCTACATTTTGCAAAACAAGAACATATATACCAAGGCGACGCTGACGACCTTTGGGAATTCACTTGCTTGTTTCGCCATAGAGACATTCATACCATTCGAAGCTTTGGTTCGCATACTATCGGTAAGTAATTTGGTATTTGTCAGTGATCCACAAGTGACTGGAAATATGCTTCTTTCAGACGGCACGGACATACGAGTTTCTTCATCTCTAGAAACGCAATGAGACAATCCCTTCACACATACGTGTTGTCTGGAATAATACACTTTCGACCACATGTATCGTTATACATCGCTGACCAGGAATCTATGAATCCCAACAGTTTACCAAAAGAGGAACAACAGATTCATCGCAAGAGCAGGCCGCGTCCCACGGGACCACAACGCCCTACGCTTCGTGGATGAGAACATCTACAGAACCTTCGCCAAGGCGAACAACGAACATGTAGCAGGTACATACATCTGATGATTCCCTCTCCTACCCAGAGTCCCCCGTTGCTCTTTGTATCCCAACATCCCCTGATCACCACCGATATTTTGCCCATTGCCATTGACTACCGACTGACCCAACCACAAACGACAAAACAGTTTACAATTCCGAAACAGCCACGATCACCGAATACGCCACTCTCAGTGACCTCCTCCGAGACCTAGGGTTCCACTACAGACAGAAGCACGAGTTGTGGGAAGATGAGCTGGTAAAAGAAGAGAGAGACCAAAACCGCAGGCCCTCGTCAAAAGAACAATTCGCCTGTGACTATGAGCACTATCATGCTTATCACCAAGTGATTCCTCGACCAACTGAGATCAGCAAGGTTGCTTACACCGGGTTTCCCGACATCGCCCAGCTACTTGCTCACTCGACCGGTTTCGCGGCCCTTTCTTCGACAGGGGAGGTGTACACGTGGGGTGATGAGCGGTTTGTTGGGTGCTTGGGGAGGGAGGTTAGCGATGAGTGGTATGTTTTCTTTCCTTGTGTCCTCTCCACCCCTTCCGTCTCATGCATTCCCTACCTCACTCGTACTAACAACACAAACCCAACACGGCATATAGCCCAGCTCAGTACCCCTCCCCCGTACCCCTCCTCTCCCAACTTCCCACCGGCCCCGTTCGGCACCTCTCCATCAGCCCTACCTCCTCTTTGCTCGCCTGCCTGACAGCCGGCAACGACCTCTACATCTGGGGGGATCCCAGACAGCTACCCCCTTCTCTTCAAACACTTTTCTTCGACGAACGGCGTGCCGACGACGATGGGCACGATTACAACGACGGTCCGGTCCCTGTGGTAATCACCGACACGGACGGGAACGAGGTGGATTGTATCGTGGACGTGGCTGTGGGCACCGAACACATGATAGCGCTGACGGACCAAGGGGAGGTGTATGTGATTGGGGAAAATTGGTGTGGTCAGTTGGGACTGGGAGAGGAGATTAAATGGGTGACCAAATGGGAGAAAGTACCTTTGTCGCTGGACGATGGAGGTGGCGGGACTAAAAAGGAAATCAAGGCGGTCGCGGCAGGCCCCTGGGCGAGTTTCTTGATTGTTGGTGAGGAGGAGAAGCGCATGTGAAGTCTGTTGAGATGAGTTTTGTCATGGGTACCAAAGCGTGGCGTTGTGAAATTACTGCTTGGCTTGAGTTGCTTTGCTGAAAGAGCGAAACATCGATTCTTGCACAATGATCCCGCTTTTGGCCTCACACACAATACCTTTGCCTGCTCTTACTAAACACTAATTGGGACGCGAGGTTTCACTCACCAATGGTCCAGATCTGCCTAGGTAGTCATGAAAGGGCTCTCTATTCCCGGGTCTCCTTTCTATTGTACAAGGAACTTGCTGTAATGGTCATTCATTAAGATACGCTCATGTGCCTATTTACCTGCCTGCTTCTACTTCCTGCTTTGCAACATCATAGGTTCGTCAGGTAATCCTCAATCTCCTGGGGAGAGAGTTTCCTGAAGCGGGGGCCCTTTGCTCCCTCGACACCCTCGACGCCAAGGAGGTGGTCCGCCGGTGGTCCGACGATGCCTGTGTGTGCAAACATGTTAGCAAATCCAGTGTCAATAAAACAAGTGCATCCGTATCCATCGCAAAACATACCAATCTCAATGGTATCACCGTTCATCTCTCCCTCAATCGTCTCCTTCAGCGTCAACAGCGCAATGTGCACCGCATCCTCGAGCTCCAAGCCCTCGGTATACCTCTTCTCCAAAAAGGTCTTGGCCGTCGTGGCGTTCTTGCCAATGGCCGTCGCCTTCCAAGGGAAATAACTGCCCGAGGGGTCGACCTGGTACAGCATGGGACCGCCCTTCAGGATGCCGCCCGTCTTGCCCGTCGCCTTCTTCTTGGTCTCGCCATCGTCAGCCACCATCTCGTCCTTGCTCTTTTGCTCCTCCAGCTCGTCCTCGGGCAAAATACCCTCGTCCCAGCCGGCGATCAGCAGCGAGACACCATAAGGGCGGACACCTCCGGACTGCGTGGCCTCTTGCATGACGCGCGCAACGTCTTGCACCAATATCCGCGTCGGCGGGTACTCGTTGTAGATGCGCTTGTAGCCCGTGTGCGAAACCTTGCGCGCGCGGTCGACAAGCACGCGGTAGTCGGGGCCCATGCCGCTGTAGACCATGCCGATGTTGGGCGTGATGAGGCTGATCTTGGAGAGGGAGGAGGGGTCGGCGAGGGGTGAGGAGGACTTCTTTTCGGTGGCGAGGACGATACCGTTGGTGGCTATGGTGAGTAGTTAGTATTGGAAACTGATAAGCGAGCGCGGAAGAGTATAGGGTGTAATAGTCGATGGAGGTGACGAGTGCTGGAGGTGACCATGGTGGTGATGGTGTATGTGGTGGGGGAGGGGGAGCTTACCCTTGATGCCGAGAGCTGTTACACCCTGGTTGACAGCATTAAGGGCATATTCTGAGAAACAGTCAGCATGATAAGGTCGGGATCGTATTGGCGCAAGGATGTGAGGTCGCTAGTTGGAAGATGAAGTTGGTTTGGGTTGAGGCGACTGACCGATCTGGACCAGCTTGCCGCTGCGCAAGTGTTAGCAGCTATCACCATCACCACCACATCAAAGCGACTATGACGACGGGAGCTTACCTGGGCGAGAACGTAGTGAGCGAGAAGGAGTATCTGTCCGCCATTTTGTGCCTTTATTTCCAAATCTTTCTGCTGGTAGTTTTGCGGGTGGGTTTGCGACGGGCTTTGGCTCTTTGAAATGCAGTGTTTAATGTTTTGGTTGTCGACGGAGGAGTGGCAGACCAGGCAGGTAGAGAGCTGTTGTCGTTTGGCTGCAAGCTTGAGTGAGGTTCCAGAGTTCCCACCACAGGCTGTCACTGTTCAAGGCCCAGGCACGGGGAAGTTGCGCGTCGAACTGGAGCTGGAACCACTGCCAGCAACTGGACTCAGCCTGAAAGAGCTCGGACCATTTGAGCCTCAAGGCAGGCACTTCCCGTACGCTGTTGTGCTGCTGTTGCTGATAGCGCGGCAGGCAACGGCAAAGTAGGAGCTAGCTACCTAGCTCTGCGACCCCACACATGGTCGCTGGTGACAGTAATTACCCTAGTCCGAAATGGGAAAGGTCAGAAACCCCCAGTGTTTCTTTTGCTCTCTTAACATTTTGCAACCCCATCAGATATTTTTCACATTTTCCTCTTCCACTTTTCTGTTTGAGAAACACCATGGCGACATGCGTTTTGAACTGTCGCACTCTGTGCCACGAAGTCGGAAGCTATCACAGGTGTGATAGAAGCCGGTTGAGGTATGTTGCGAAATGATGATGCCCACTCTTTCTTCAGCGGGCAGTGCTGTCCCGAGGCTTGAGCTGGACACGCTGGGGTTAAGAGCGAGTGGTCAAGTTCAATTGGCAAGGCAATTTGACCACATTGCTGCTTCCACCTTTTCGTTCCGAGATGTTCTCTGGACTTCTCGCTATTTA